GGGGGCAGCGGGCGAGTGCAGGTGGGGGGGGGGGGGGGGGGGATCAGTTTTTCTTCCTAGATATGTATTAGTACCACTTGTGCCAACGTGCTTTTAAGCATTCTTTACTACTTTAGATAAGCAAGTGCACATTACAAATTAATCATAATAAACTAAGCTGAAAAGATAAAGGACAAAGAGAGTAGACTTCATATGCTAAAGCATCTAAAAATCTTGTCTCATCTTTGACACCATTGCCTGGGTTGAAGAGGAGAATAATGACAGAATTAATTACTGGTTAATTTCCAATTCTCAGCTACCAGACAACAAGAATTAGGGGGTGTAGAAAATTAAAAATATATTAAAGGAATTAATACAACTTTATACCACTTGAACATAAATCAATATCTGATACTATAAGCTCTAATACCAGAAAACCGTAGCTGCGGGAGTATTTATGGTTATGTACAATGTAAAATAAGCCAGCACAAATGTTAAAAGCAAAGCAAACAAACTAGAGAAAGAACCTTAACTTACGCTTTTATTCACAACAAAATTCAGTGTAACCATCTCCATGCTTTAATTCATACTGAGAGCTCACTTCTGTAAATACTGGGTTTTTTCCCTGGAGCTTTTGCAATCTTCGGTATCTTCCTTATTTCAGACTAATTAAAACACCTAGTTCTGCTAGCCATCTTTCTCCCTCTCCTATCCCATCCTCTTGGTTATCTTTTCTCACATTACTGAAGTTTAGATCCTGAGTAAGGAAAGAGGCATAACTTTCTAAATATGTTTCAAATACCTATGTATTTTAACTCCTATAAAATGAGTGTTTTTGAGGTGTATTTTTTAATTTAGGCTGCTTTAAACAAAGAAACTTTAAATCACCAGCATCTAAAGTACGCTATTTGTACTGTCCACAATTAATTGCCATCCACCTAGTCTCCGAGAGTCAGAATCTAGTTCTACATATTTCTCAGAGATTGTATCTTACAACTTCATACTACTAGCAGTAATATATCAAGCGGGTGGAAAACACTCCAAACTATTTAGTAAAACTACAAGATGGTGAAAAAAAAAACTCTGAAAATAAGTTAAAGTTGCTTCATTTTCTTTTTAACTGGGTTAAGCAAGCATTGCTTTGGAAAAGAAATCTCTGGCACGACAGAGTCACAAGCATTGTTCCAGGCAATCTCAGACTCCTATATTCAGGCTAGATAAGAGCGAAAACTAAAAACCATCACAAAGGTGAGACTAGCAGTAACCAGGGGCAAGGTTAGCTACCACTCTTCCAACAACATCTTCTTGATCCTGACAGAGGGACCTGTGACACCAACAAAGGGCTGGAAATTGAGCTACACGACAGAGTGGGTGGACACCCCAAAAGCATACTCAGATTGACCCGACAGATTTTGTCACTGCCTCCGAGTAATGACATCCCCTTTGGCACGAAGCCTTGCTCAGGATTGAGTAGCAAAGATAGGACACAGAACATGTTTGTATTTTGGAAATTGGCCTATCAACCTGGTCAGCACCCAAAGCTCCAGCTGGAACACAGCATAAAGCCAGTACAAGTGACTGACATCAATATGCTACAGCGATAGGTGTGACAAAAACCAAGTGAGAACAAGAGAAGGATCTGAGTGAGAGTTGTTCCTCAGGTCCCAAATGAAATGAGTTGGTGATCTAGCCCGCTTCACAGAGGGAAGTATCCATGTCACTGAAACTGTCAGCACTAATTAGAATCCCTGCTGGCATCCTCAGGGATTTAACAGACACTGAGGAATAAACTGCCTCACTCCTATGGGCTGCCCCTCAGCCAGAAAACAGAAGAGATGAGGGGAAGGAATAGCATGGGAAGCTTTTCATCCCTCCCGCCTGCACTGCTCTGTGGCTAACAAGTTGCTCTAAGCAGTTGCACTGCTGAGAAGTTAATAATTTTCACAAGAACTAGAAGTCACGTAATGCAAACACCTTTCTAAACCTTTCCAAGATGAAATCAAGCCAACCAACTCATTTCTGCTGACACAATTTTCTCCAGAATGCTCATGACAGTCTTCAGAAGAACATTGTTAGAATCGCAAATAACATGAAAACAACAAGACACATGGTGAACGCACACACATATAAAACTCACATCACGCTTGTGAGTCAAACATGCTTAACTTCAGTAACGACTCAAAACTCTGTGACTTCAGCTGCATGCTTCGAGTTAAGCATTTACAGGATGAGAGCTATGGGAGGCTTTAGAAACACTTGTGCGTAAGCAGCATGGCATATCTAACATGCTTTGTCTCAACGCGTGTATAACGTAAATAACACTCTTTGGTTACGCTACCCATTTTCCACGCTGCTCGTTAACGACTAAGAATTTCAGCAGGTGAGCTAGTTAAATTCTGATAAGCACCTTACAGCTCCAAGCACTTCGCATAGCAGCGCGGTCCACGTTCACTAACCTGCGCAAGGCTTCTTGCTCCCTGCAGTGTTTTAATGCTAACGATTTACGCGCCTGACAGACCGAAACTACGTTCCACGAGGTAAGGGCGCACGGCACCTGACGCTTGCTGCCACCAGGGGACTTTTCACTCCTTAAAACACCAGCCATCCCCCAACTTACTACCGGGACGAGGCCGCTTAACTCGGTAGAAGCCGCAACTTTTTTAGCGGCTGCAGCCGCGGGGGCGAGCGGGGCAAGCCCGTGCCCGCCGGCAGCCCTCACCCTCGCCCTCACCTACCTCGGCGCTCCCGGACGCGGACGACGAGCTCGCAGGCGGCCGCCGCCTCCCGGTCGAGGGCCGCGGCCAGCGTCACCTCGCCGCTCTCCCGCTCCACGCGCGCCGGCGACTCCTCGACGGGCGGCGACACCAGCTCGAACCAGGCGGAGGCGAAGGGCGCCGGGGCCAGCGTCGCCAG